CCAGTATCAACAGTATCAACAACTTCCACTTTGTGGAAATTAATATGGCTGAAAGAGTAGAGCTTACAAAAAGGGCAGACAAACTGTGCACTGCATGTAAAGCTCATACTGAAGCCGGTATGAAGAAACTTGGTCTCCCCATTCAGGAACTGTTCCTGCCTAAACCTCGTCCATCACTTTCTCCAAGAAGAATCTATAGATACTCTGGGCGAGGACGTACTGACCTCAACTCATTTTTGGAAGGATCCGATTGGGTTGTGGAGAAGATTGATACCTTTGATCGTCTGTTATTTCTTAAATGCCTTGCAGGTACGTTTCTTTGAAGACAAACTGTTGAGCGGTGTTTGAACCTTGTTTTTGTAGTGTTTGTTGAAGTCATATAGCATATAGTTTAAATAGACCATTCGATTCATGACGATTCATATTTTGCTATGAATCTCAACAGGCAGTGGGGATGACATTGAGGACTTTGAGGAGAGCCTTGAGTACTCAAAGGGAGACTCCTTCCCTCAATCTCGACCCCCTGTTGATGACAGGATGGCCCCTGTGCTGCCTCCTTTGGTCCCAAAGCCTCCAGAAGTTCAACAGACCAATAAAAAAGGAGCTCGACAGAGGACGATCAGTCCCCCTTTAAATCTTTCTGAAGGAACAGGTAAGTTCTTCTATACACATAATGAATAGTTGATGGACAATTTCCTTTAGCTTATTGTATACTGGGGGTTTCAGTTGGAAGAATGATTTGACTAAGCAGAAACAGAGGATAATCTGTTTTGTGGTTTACTAGGTGAGACAGAGGGTAACCTAAGCCTCCAGACTGAGGATCATACAGAGGTTGATCTGTGGGAGGAGAAACTGGAGTGCATCCACCTAAACTGTGTCCCTCGATCTTGGCTCCCAAAGAGGGCCCCTGTGGACCTAGAGTGCTCCCAACAAACATTTGTCCCTAAATCGTCAGTCCTTGAAAAGAGGATTCCTGTGCCGCTGCCCATGGCCCCAAAACCTCCAACGGGGCAACGGGCAAATACAGGTAGAGCTCGACTAGGGAGTTACCTGCGCTCTACCTTCCAAACAAATTGGGGAATGTATCCTGACTAATGGCTTTTTTCACTGGCTCCTTTTTAGGTTTTTCTATGTTGATACAGAAAGGAGAACTGTATTTTGACATTTGCATCTTGTTGTTCATGAAGGTGAGAAAACAGAGGATCACTGCAGCCTCCAGGCTCCTCAGCAAAAGTCCATCCCTGGGTCTCGACATCCTGTACCTGCCAAGAGGGCTCCTGTGCTGGCACCCTTGGCCCCAAAGCCTCCAACAGGGCGACGGGCAAATACAGATGGAGCTCGATCTGGGAGGTTACTGCGCCCTGTTACACCTGACAAGGGAACTGGTAAGATCACAATACATCCTTAATGATGAAAAAAAAAAAAAAATTCACAGGATCCTTTTCTGTTTATTTTACGTTGATACACAAGGAAGTGCAATATTTTGACATTTGCATCTTGCTGTTCATAAAGGTGAGAAAACAGAGGATCACTGCAGCCTGCAGGCAACTCAGCAAAAGTCCATCTCTCGGTCTAAACTTCCTGACGCTGCCAAGAGGGTCCCTGTGCTGCCTCCGTTGGCCCCAGGCCCTCCAAAAAAGCCTCAAATTAAAAAAAGAGGAGCTCAACCTGGGAGGTTCCTTCCCCCTATCAAGGGAACAGGTAGAACATACTTAAAGGACATTTAGTGTGCAGACTTTTCTATTTTCATTATAGCCTTCTTGCGCTCGTGCACCTGAAATTTTATTACGGTTGAGTGTGCTCCTTTTCTTGCTGTTTTGAAGTTCTTCAATAAACATTGTATATGAGTATAAAACAAATTCATCCATGAGTTCAATACGTTTATTTAAATATCTAAGTCAGGCTAAGTTGTTTTAAATGAAGGAACGAAAAAAAATATCTTTTGATCTAACAGACAAGAAAGCGTCGAGTGGAGGATACCAAGGTTGTGATGCCGCCTTTACCTATGCCTGCAGCGAGCCTGAACCTCTGCTTCCAGCTGTTGTCGTCTGACGACTGGTAAGACACGGAAACCAGAGAGCATCAGATGTACCAACTTGGGGATTTCTTCATCTGAATAGCTATTTTATCATTATATATACACATCTATAAAGGATAAGAAAGAAATATGAACTTATTAAATGCCACCCCTTTTCCATTAGTCATTGATAAGTATTCAGTCAACTTCCTTATATCATGTTTTAAGTAGCTGTTTTAACTGTAGGTTTGAGTTGTCAGTGTGGTTGGGTAACTTTTTCCATTAAAATATGCAGGATGAATAAAATCGAGGGATTGAAAGACGTGCAAGCACTTGCACAGCACCACATGGAGATCCTCAAACCCAAACTCCATGAAGTGAGCCTGGTTCTCATAGAGGAGGTATTTTACACGCTGTCCCCTTTGTGTTTCATGTAAATCACTACTACAGCCTACATGTATCTGTGAGTCTGCACACCACAGTATGGACTGATGATGTTCATTGTGACTGTTCAGGTGAAAAACCTTCGCTCCGCTGTCGCCTGTGAGGCTATTAGCACTCTAGCCGAGATGTATGTTCACGTCCAGAAGGCCATGGACCCGGAGGTTGAGGCTACAGGCCAAGCCCTGCTGCTCAAACTGGCACAAACCCCCAGCGTCTTTATTCATGAGCAGGTCAATCTTGCACTGAGAGCCATGGTGGAAAACTGTAGCCATGCAAGGGTCCTTAACGCCCTGTTGAACAAAGGGCTCAGGTAAGTGAAGAAAAATAAAATGTATACCTTTTATCAGCAGGAGCATTAAATATGGGTAAAAAAATGTTGCATTGGATCACATTTGATTGATTTGTTCTTTTCCCTCGTTAGCCACCTTTGTGTTGCTGTGCGATGCGGCATGGCTCGACACCTGCACCAGCTGGCTGACAGCATGGGAGCAGCCTGCATCCTCACAGATGGAAAAGGCCTCACTGAGAGCTTCCTCGCGGCTGCCTCACAGATCGCTGTGGATGCGGCACCAGAAGTGAGGTTGGTTATCAAGTTCTGTAAACTTACTGTACAACTGTGTAAATACTTGTGGTGTTTGATTTGTTGCTCATTTTCATTTGGTAATGTAGTTTTTAAAAGTATAAACTGCTGAGCATTCTTTCACAGGAAACATGGACAAACCATCCTACATACACTGGCTCGCCACAAGGACTTTCAACGCCTGTGGAAAAAGACTATCCCTGACAAAGAACGCTATTACGTGAACAAGCTCCTAAAGAAGGCCAAGAAATGAAGAAGGGAGGAGCTCTGCAGTGTTTCCTTAAGTGTACATTGCAGTGATGTTGTTGTTTTTAATTGTCTGTGTTGTCAATAAATGTTTCATGAGCAAATTTACTTTTTTTTGGGGGTTGAAGTAGCCTCAAACACAAAGAGTAAACACCTTTACTGGAAGCTGAAAAGGTTATGTCTCCTTAGTCCATGAGTATTATCACCATTGGACCCTTAACTGTATTATTGATAATTCATCCATTTTATTCTGTCCTTAAAATGATTTCATATACATCTTCTGCCCAGTTTTAGTTTTCTCTATTTATGTCAATTTAAATTGTGATGTCCCGTCTGTTTTCTTCATGAAGCACATTGGGCTGCATGCTTCACTGTATGGAAACTATTACTCAACTGGGTTTGACCCTTACTATAATAGATAGCCAACATATTTTCAAATCTACAACTTAGCATGCAGTACAATGCATGACATGCTTGGCAGAGGTAGGCATATGTGGCATGCCGTTTTTTTATGAAGAAGAAAATCATATAAAAGCATAAAAGCTAAAACACTGCTGCAGATTAATATATGCCAAACATAGAATTAAAATCCAGCAGAGAGAATCTATTTAACTTTAAACAAATGCAGTTCATCAATGGTATTTCTGCAGAAGTTAAAATCATACTGAAAAAGATATTCTAGCATCTTGTTTTGATGGTAAAAACTGACCTGCTGGGAAATTGATAAAATCATAAAAAAAAAAAAAAAAAATTAAGCTGAGACAAGAATAATAAACGTTTATTTCAGCTGCTCAAAGGATCTGGTAAAAAAACAGCAGAGTGAACATGAATAGGCTAATTCAGTACAAATGTATTATGTATTATAACGTTTAAAAACCCTGAAGATGTGAACCTGTTAAGGAGTAAGGACATTTTTTGATTAAGAATAGAAAAGAAACTGAAATTGGTCCAATTAATGAATACTGCAGGTTAACACTTCAGTGCAATCAATGAACAAAGTTATCTAAAGAAACAATTCTTCTATCCAGTGAAGTGGTTACAAAATGATAATAAATGCACTGGCAACATTGCAGTTTATATTTGATGTAAGTCGGTAGGACACACTGCACCATGTCCTGATGTTGACGTAATAACTCAGAGGAAGCTACTTTTTGATTTGTTTCTGGAGCTTAATACCGCCATCTGTTGGTCTTTGAAGGCTATGACCTCTTAAACTGCACTGGGACAGTTTTTAAAACACATGCCAAACACATTATGTGAAGCTAAATTTGGGAGTAATGCGTTTCTTTGGGGTATAGGAATATTTTAAAATCTGACTGCTGACTTAAATAAATAAGAGTTTTACAGCTTTTAAGTTATATGGGTGGCTTTTCAACCAGATTGTCGGAGGTTTGATCCTTAGCTCCTGCAGCCACACCTCCGACGTGTCCACTTAACCCCAAATTGCTCCCGCTGCTTCGGCGGCGTATGAATGTGTATGAACGGATTTGTTAATACTGAAGGACCCTTCAGGGTTTGGGAACAAAATGAGAGGGACCTACTACAATGAAAGGCTATTTGAAAGATATATGGTTAACACAAATGATTCAGGTGTTTTGCTTGTTTAAATAATTTACATTCCATGTGAATTAGTTTGATATATCTCACGCTACATACTCCGGTACAGTAGGTGGCGGTATTCACCTTTTTAATTAATGTTTGTACATTGTGACGTATTTCCGGTGTCATGTCAGCTTTCTGCTGAAGCCGCATGGCTAGTGATTTCTGCTGTAATATTTACAGTCTATGCTTCTGCTGCATTTAATGAGTGTTTTTCCAAGTCCGGCGTTTGTGGAGATGCAGATTTAATAAAACGAGACACCAAGGAGGTAGGCTGTGTTTTATTTCAGTTTTATTTAAGATGATAAACAATCTGTTGGTTCAACACAGCCGGTGTGTTCAGGTGTCCAACGTGTGGCTTTAATATCAGCTCATTTCTGTCTTGTCAAGTTAAAGAGAGGGAAGTCCTGTGAGAATGAAAATGTGGTTTTAGCACAACAAATGCAGATTGAAGAACCTAACATGGCAGTAAAGTGTCTGAATAAACATTTACAGTCTAAACCTGTGTCCACTGAGTAGTTTATCTGAATCACAAGCTGGGAAAAACCTTTTAGTAGCTCAAATCAAGCAGCAGGTTAAAAGATAGATACCCTATTAAAACGTTTATCTGCCTCTTGACTGTCACAACACAGAGGCTCTGCACAGCTTCCGGTGTGACGACAGCTTCATGCATGTAAACAACAATGTGAAGCAGCTTGTTAACCTGCAGTGTTTCGCAAGATGCATGATGTGGAATGAGTAGAGAATTAATATAAAGTTATTTCATTATTTAAAAGGGATAAGGATAAACTCTGTTCTCATTTTGCATTGTTTTCGACAGAACGCCATCATGTCATGGCAGGAAATGAATGTACTGAGGCATTTGAAGTCCTTCTCTGACTTTTGCTTTCTGCATAAATCATTTCATGACGGTACACAATCTAGCTAATGTACAACACTTTCCTCTAGTTCAGTGGTTCCTAGTCTTTCTGGTCTGTGTCTCCTGATACACAACAACTAGCTTCTAAATGATGATTTGAATGTGTGACACAGCAGCTTAAATCTTAAAGAGTAACTAACAACATAGTTAGATGAGGGAAAATATGATTATTCGGCGCTGTCATCATGAGGTTTAAGTTTTAAATTCAGTAGGGACAGACTCAGGTGTCAGATGTGTACCATACTTTACCAGCTACCATCAGTTTTTTTTTTAACACAATGATTCCTCTTTCTGGTACCGAACATTTAAAGATGGCATTATGTACAACATATTTCAATGAGCTCCGTCACTCTTTTAATTGTCAGTGATCATGGGAATTCATAATTAAATACATTTCCTTTTGAAGGGATGGCTGAAGTCGTACAAGAGAAAAGCCGCGGCTTGAAGTTTGCGGAGCAGCAACTCCTGCGTCACGGCTGGGAACACGGTAACACATTCTGCTGCCTTTTTGTTTATGAGTTCAACCGTCACAAGGTATCAGACTCAGGAGCAGGTTTCTCACTAAACTCACATCGTCCCCTCAGGTAAAGGACTGGGGCGAGCAGAGAACGGCATCTCAGAAGCTATCAAAGTCAAAGTGAAATGTGACAAAGGAGGGGTGAGTGACCTCTGGTTTTAATCTGTCTATATCTTTAGCTTTGCGCTCTTTTTTTTTTTTTTCCTCTGTAGAAAGTTGTATTATTTGTGAACTCGTACGTTGCTCTTCTCTTTTAGGTCGGCCATAAGGAAGGCGAGCAGTTCACCTTCCACTGGTGGGATCACGTCTTCAACAAGGCCTCCTCTAGTCTGCAGGTGGAGTCTGATCAGGTGAGTCCCACCTTCAGGGGGACAGAGCCTTGTCCATATCTGCCACCTCCCTTTGAACTCACTCCTCACACATATTCAACACTGCACTGACCCATCCACTTTTATATCATTACTCAACACTCACCTTTTCAAAACAGTTTTTCATGTATGATTGTGATGTGTGTTCTGTTTATCTGGAGCTTTTAGTCTTTGAGAGAAGGTCACGTTCTGTCTACGTGTCTTTGTGATTCAGAGCGGTATCAAGCTGAAGAAGACGGTGGAGGAAGATGAAGAGGAAGGAATGATCTCCAATAAAATGCCGAGGAAAGCCTCGCTGGCTAAAGCCAAACTGTATGGATGCTTTGTCAAGGTAAAAATGTATTTCCAATATTGTTATTTAGCAATAAAGGGCAATTCCACAGAGAAATCTGCTACTGTATATCATGTGTTGATTGACATGGCTATTAATGTCTCTTTAGATTTATTAAATAAAAAACAGATAGAGCATCAGTATTACCCGTTATCCTTCAACAGTTCAAAAATCAGCTTTAAAATTCAACATGATGTTTATTAGCCAATCTGGGCCAGCAATACAACATTCAGTTCGTTAAGAGGAATTTCAAAGAAAGCTCCGACTCTCACTGATATTTTTTATTTGAATACCTCTCAGTCGGCCACGCTCCTGTCTGGTCAGGAGCAGCCGGAGCCAAAGGCCTCAAACTCAGACGACAGCAGCAGCAGCTCCGATGACGAGGAGGACGAGCAGAAGATGGATCTCTCCAGCACCTTCAAGTAAAAACATCTGATGTTCTTATTATTTTAATTTCTGCAGAGATGAGTACATGGTGCATCGTGTCATCTGTCTCTGGATAAATTCATGCCTTTTTCATGTCTTTGTTAAAGTTTAATTTATTGATTGATTCTCAGTAAGCTCACTGATGCTGACCTGATGAAGGCTTGTGGAGGACGCACCGCCCATAAGTGAGTTCGTTCATAAGATTTCATAAAACCTGAGTGTCTGAAACCCTCAAACGTTTAGAGATCAAACTATGTGGCAGCCAATCACTGATGAACATGTTAGGCTTTTATTTTGAAATGTTTTACTGTCTTCAGTTGAGAGTACTTAACTTGCTGTTTAAATTCAACTCTGCTCTTATTTTGAAGTAAAGTACAGACCTTCTGTTAGATTGAAGGTTATGCTATTAACTGAACCACATAAAAAAGAATTTAGAAATGAATGCATTCATTTCAGAACCTTGATTAATCACAATTAACCAGTAAATGCTGACAGCCTAAAGTATATATATATATTTTTTTAGCTAATAGCTAAACACTAACCCTAACCATAATCAAAGTTTGTATGAGTATTTCAGAATAACCAAATGATGGAAAATGATGATGTCATCATATCTAATGCTTTTCTGCTTGTGTCTGTAGAGGAGCCAGGCACGGCATGACCATGAGTGCCAAGCTGCTGCGGCTTGAGCAGCAGGAGGCCGAGTTCATGGCCAAGTACGGCAAGAAAAAACAACCAGCCAATTCTCCATCGACTCCGGCTCCCTCACAGTCACCTGAGCAGAGAGCTGAGAGGTGTGAGGAGACGGCAGAGGAACCTCGCAGCAAAAAGATGAAGAAGAGGAAATCCACTGGGAGCATTGATGAGCTAAATGTTGACAAAGCCCCCAGCAGTCCTGAGACAGATGAGATACCGAAAAAGAAGAAAAAGAAAGGCAGCGAGAAAAAAGAGGAAATAATCGATGCAGTTTCTCCTGATGAGGACGTGATCTTTGTAGGAAACGTTCAAGCAGAGCGTCCACACAAAACAAAGAGGAAAGATAAAAAGAAGAAAAAGAGCGCAGAGCAGAACGAGGAAGAAGAAGGAACGTCTTCACCTGCAGCAGAGAGTCCAGAGGAGACCACAGAGCTGCACGCTGACGCCACGGTAAAGAAGAAGAAGAAAAAGAAGAAGAAATCCTCCAAACATCAAAGTGAACCTGCTGAGGGACAGGAAAGTAATGTTGCAGAATCCAGCCAATCAGAGCCAGCCGAGGTCTCTGTTCTGACAGCCGAAAAGAAAAAACGTGCTGATAAGTTGGACAAAGCAGAAGTCACAGAGGAAGAATCAACAGTGAGGCAGAAAAGGAAAAAATGTAAAAAGGACAAAACATCTGTAGAGGACATTGTGAACGAGGAGGCACTTCCTCCAAAGAAGAAGAAAAAGAAGTCCAAAGAGTAGTGTTTGATTAAAGGGATCTGGACTTCAATCAAGATGTGTGTCTCGTTTGATTGGAGAAGTTAAGATCAGCGTGAATCAATTTATGTTCCAAACACGGACGTGATGGAGGCTCTGATGTCACGAGGCGGGCTTGTCAATGAATTAAGATGCTTTTCTTTCACTGGAGAATCTATGAACACAATGAAATCCAACAGTTGTTTCTCTTTTGCCTGTTAAACAAACTCATGTAGGCTGCAGGATATGGGGGGGGGGGAGTTATAATCTGACTTTTTGACAGATGTGACTGTTGTGATATGATTTACAGGACGTGAAATGAAATGTAATATTTTCACTGACGATCCCTCTCAAAACCACAAAGATGTGGGTGTAGGCCAGACCACCTGCAGCTGCATTTTAATATAATGCAGGTTATCTGTACATTTAGAAGAAAAGGAGAGGGGGGAGTATTGCACTTGGTGTCTTCTATTTGAATATTTGTGCAGCCCTAATCAATATTAATCTGAGCCGTTGATGACCTGCTTCAGATTCTAAAGAACATTTTAGGGACATTAATGACATCAGAATGGATTGAATGAGTCGTTGATTTGATGAGTCATATCTGCAAATCTTCACCTTGCAACTCATACTCATGTCGAATAATTACAGCTGCAAATGATTTATTGCAATATCCTTTGTCTGACCTATTTACATGAAAATAAAAGACAACTTCTCATAAATGATTTCGTTTTTGCATCATGAAAAACTTCTTAAAGGTGTATTACAGCGGTGCACATATGCATGAGAAAACGTGTTTAAAAAGCTAAATAATAATAAACAACACCAAACATATATAAGTTAACTAAATACCAAACTAAAATCTAACATACATTTATACATGATAAACACACTTCCGCAAAATGTCCAGCAGAGGTCTCCCTACTACATGGAATACAGAACGTGTTATCAAATAAGGCGCCTAATTAACATAATTAGGTGCAATTAAACATTGATAACAGTATAGCACGCTAACACTGCTACAATATAATGTCTGTAGACCTGTTAGAAATGAGAGCAAACTTCAATACAACTCTTTCATTCAGTAGACTAATGAGGAGACTGGACCTGGAAGAAGGTGTTAAAGAGACAGAAAATGGAGAATATGACTAGCTGGTTAATAATACTACTGCATCAATGGACAGGATGAGAAAAATAAAGGTTTTTGAACATTATAAAGCATGAAAACTTTTAATAGTAGACACCCCAAATAAAAGTACAAACCTGAAAATGGACAAAATATGGAACATTTCAAACTAAAATTGTTCATGTTGTAAAGTGCAATATATAAAATGCAGTGTTGCACATGGCACCAGATGATGGTGCAGATGACGGTACACTTAATCTGGCTCTGGATCTTTGTCCACCTCATCGAGGTCTTCATCTGAGTTTTCACTCTCTGTCTCATTCTCTTTCTTAGGACTCTCATCTCAGGTCTACGTCCACTTCTTTCCAGCCAACATCAGACTCAAAGCACATGACATAAGGTGGAACGTAGAACATCACCCATCTGACCAACATGATGGATAATAAGTGCAACAACATAGAAACAATTACCATGAACCAAATAAGTGCAACAGCGTAATGTGAGATAATATATGTTCAGAACTATTAATGTGTAAACGTAGCTACAGGTGAAAAACTGTTGTGTGCAATAATTTAAATGCAATAAGTCTCAAAACAGTCTGTTGTTTCATTGTCTCTTTTTACATTTTTATAAAGGGTGTATGTTTAAGCAGTGTTATTACCTGTAGTGTATATTTCTTGTGTTTGTTACAATGTGTTGCTGAATCTGTGCGATAAAACCTATCCTCTATTCTACTCTGCACATTTATTTTGAATGCACATCTTTTTTTAGGCTCTCCAAATGCATAAAACAGCACAAAAACATTCAGGCAGTCAGTAACACAGACAAGCAGAGCAGCTACACTTACACATTCAATCACGGTTTAGATCTCATCAGTCATATAGTGAGATTAAGGATGTTTATTGCACTTGGAATAAATTGACTTCTCAAAGACATTTTATGTCCATTATACGTATGGCACAAGTTGACAATAAAGATGACTTTGACTTTATTCATCCTTCAGCCCTGCGTCATGCTGATGATGTAGATGTAAGAATCGCATAAAGAGAGAAGTCACTTTTGTCTTCTTGATTAATGGACGAATTTTCTACACATTTCCCAGATGGGGAAGTACTTCTGGAAAATGATTCGTTTCTCCTCCCTTTATAAAAAAAAAGAAAAAAAGAAAGTCGTAGGCAAAGGCGCAATGACGTAGAATCGTTTAAAAACATTGTGATTTTTTGCCAAAGCAATGTTACTAGCTATTTTCGCAATGAACATTGTTTGTGCCTGAAATGTTTTAAAGGTCAGAATTAAACTAAGAGGATATGCTAATGCAGTACAGCCTCCGACCGCCAGAGCAGCGCTGAGCACAACGCTACTGAGACAGCAGCACTCTAGTTAGAAAAAGATATCATGGGATAATACCAATACGTAGGTGTGTCTTGTTTACTTAATAAAAGTAAATCCAGCTCATCGAGTGAGACGGACTTCATCAACTTCCAAAAATTCATCCAAAAAACCTTTATGTGAGTACTGAATGCTTTAAACTGGATTACAGTTATTAAATCACATCGAGAGTTTAATGATTAGCTCTTTTTTGTGTTGTGAAAAATATGCTCGTAGTTTAAAAAAAAAAAAACTACTCAAATAGGGCTCAGTGTAGGAAGGGTGCGAAGTAAAATGTAACATCGTTTTCTAGATTTAAGCAAGAAAAGAAAAAAGAGTGGCGACAAGAAAAAAAACACAGTTAACAACTAGCCTATAATGTAAACAAATGGCTTGTGAAAATTATGTTTGCAATGACAGTTAAGCACATGGACTGGCTGTCCTCAACAATGATCCACAAGAAATAAAGAACAAAACCCCTGTAAGGGGCGCAGATTGTAAAGTTGCGCACACTACAAATAACAACAACATTTCTCCACATTTAGCCCTAAAACATCACTTTTTATTCACATTTAGAGAAATATTTGTGAACATTGTCAAATTTACTTTTGTGAATAAAAATGTAAGACAATTTCATTGGCAAATATAAATGTTAAATATTATGTCTAAATGTTGAATGTTTTATCTAAATGTTAAATGTTATATATAAATGTTAAATATTATGTCTAAATGTTGAATGTTTTATATAAATGTTAAATGTTATATATAAATGTTAAATGTTATATATAAATGTTAAAATGTATACATGTCCTGATTCTAAATATTTAGCTACGTTTCTAAATATTTAGTTTTGATCCTATATATTTAGCTAAGATTGTAAATATTTATAATCAAAGCTAAATATATAGAATATAAACTAAATATTTAGCTTTGATTTCGCAATATTTAGCTAAGATTTCTAAATATTTAGCTAAGACTCTAAATATTAACATTTGATTTCTAAATATTGAGCTTTGATTTCTAAATGTTTAGCTAAGATTTCTAAATATTTAGCTAAGACTCTAAATATTAACATTTGATTTCTAAATATTGAGCTTTGATTTCTAAATATTTAGCTAAGATTTCTAAATATTTAGCTAATATGCAAATTCACTCTACGCCAACGGAAGCACCAAAATAAAAGTTCGAGGAAGCGATCCAATTTTGAAATTGCGGGATTTTGAAAATGTCGAACGAATTAGCGGAGAATATTGGAAGGGCCGTTTTGGCCGCAATTCAGGGTTTTCAAAGCACTACTTCTTCGGTGTCGGCCACAGGATCTTCCACATCTTTCGCCAATTCGTTCGACATTTTCAAAATCCCGCCAGTCTCCTGTAGGAGACAATGGTTGGATCGCTTCCTCAAACTTTTATTTTGGTGCTTCCGGTGGGCGGTAGAGTGAATTTGCATATTAGCTAAATATTTAGAAATCGTTACTAAATATTTAGAAATCAAATGTTAAAATTTAGAAATCTTAGCTAAATATTTAGAAATCAAAGCTAAATATTTAGTTTATATTCTATATATTTAGCTTTGATTATAAATATTTACAATCTTAGCTAAATATATAGGATTAAAACTAAATATTTAGAATGTAAAGTAAATTTGATTTTTTTTTTAGGGCTAAATGTGGAGAAATGTTGTTGTTATTTGTAGTGTGCGCAACTTTATAATCGGCGCCCCATACCCCCTGGCACACTTGTTTAAGATAAGATGAGATATCTTTATTGTCACTGTTTAGGATTACAAGTACAACGAAATGCTGTTGGAGCAAGCCTGTCTATGCCTAATATCAGAAATATATACAAATACTAAAACCAGATATACAATTAAATAATACAGCATAGTATACAATATACATGAAGTACAATGAAGTTGTATCATAATACTCATATGATAAAGAGCAATGGCAAACACAGATAAATACATTTACAACCAGGCAATTAAAAAATCCTCAAAGGTTTTTTAAAAGTATTATTTTCCAATCTAAGAAATGTAGTATGAAACATGAGATCACATATGTGTAAAATGATTTTCATGACACTACACCTCTCCTGGGTGAAGTTATTGAATATTTCTGTATAATTTTTTTTCGGTATTGCAATTTGCAGACGGTCCCTGCGCATTCGAGCACTAGGCTCTGCGCAGAGGCCAATGCAAGTTCCCCAGCGCGGAGGACAGCCCGTTTTGAGGAAAATATGAATGTAGCTCCCAGTCTATCTTGTTGTGATTGCAGAGAGGTGTCTGTTTTGTAAAAGAAATGTTCCGCTGATGAGTTATTGATCCGGGAAAGCCGAATCTGTGAATATATTTCTACTTTACCGAAGTCCAAAAACCTAAGTTTCCAGGAGTTCTGTAAGGAAGGAGGTATCAACTTCATTTGTACAAGTGTCAGCTTTTATTGGGGGGCGGACTTTAGAATATGCTTGTATATACTCCTGACAACTTTCAATCCGGATGTGGAAAGTTAGTGTCACCTTATGCAACACAGACTAAGAACTTACAGGTTCATAAAATCACTTCAAGGTTCAATGACAAAGTGTAAAAAGTTCACTGACTGTGTGAAACTTTGGTCAGAGGGAATAGAAGAGACGATAAATGTCAGCCAAAAGAAAAGGTCAGTCAGTCAGCAAAACTGATTATGAGGAACTACTTTGACATTTAGATTCAGCTTGTAACTATTTTAAAACTTAAGGAATAAGAAACAGCAAACTGATTGTGCAGTTACTCTCTTGTGTTTTCAGTCTGTCGGAGCAGGCAGGATGTCTGTGACCATGACCAAGGCTGAAGGGGTCACTGTGCTCACTTTGACCTCGGACCCCCAAAGTGTTTTACTCCAATATGCCAAATCCTCAAAGGCCTTTGTTACAGCCCTATATGCTGCTCTGTGTCCCAGCATCTGAAGAAGCTCCAGGGCTCATCTCAGTCAGTCCTGGGGGTAAGTAACAGCTCATGTTGAAGTATCTCTATGAAATGTACACACATACGTTTTCCTTCACCCACTCAGTTTCTGATTTTAATTCTGATATTTACTCCCCTGTGATGTTTCACCTTCAATCTGGTGTTGCAGAGTGTAATGGGGGATGAAGTGATCCCACCGTCTTTAGTGGTAGTAACAGAGGCGAGCCGGTTTCAGC